TAAAGTTGCCTTAAACCTAACACCCCTTTTGCCAAGTGGTACTACCCGTAGAGGTTTTTTAAACATTGCAATGCATCGTAATGGTTATTTTTAGAATGGCAAACTGATGCAGCTGTTAATACGTGTTGTAAACGTAGACACTACTAGACTAGTACAATAATGCTTAATTGCTGCATGAAAAGAAATCTTGTGATTTACATAGATGTGCTGACCAAAAATATTTTTTTTAACAAATATCATTGTTTAAAACTTTGAGTTTAAAAAGTTTCCAAAAAGGCGCCACTTTGCTGAAAATGGCCAGAGGGGGAGCGGCCGCTCCCCCTGCTCCCCCCCCCCCTGCGTACGCTACTGATCCATATATAAATTTGTCCTAAAAAGTCTATTCTTTTCCTTGTGCTGCAACTGTTTTAACTATTTTTCCATTTTCCCATTTGGCTGTTTTAATGACACTGTCATCTCTTCCAAACACATTTGTCTTGTGAGGCTCTTTGAGGACCCTCCTTACAACTTTAGCACATATCTGAGAGTAATTTATGTAATTTAGTCCAACTTGTCTCCAGAAGGCGGTCATTTTTAAAGATTTTTAGAATATTTCTAAAAAATGTATTCGAGGTCACCTTCAGTGGAAGAGAATGCTAGATCACATATAGACCTTAAGAAAAAGTTATTGAAAAAGTTGTAAAAAAAAAACTTTTTACTATTTCTAAAGTCATTTTTCTAAACTTTTATAATTATTGTGGTTAATTTACCAATGAATACATCAATAAATTAATTAACGGCTTTAAATTAGTTTGTAGTTACCAGTGTATTTAAGAAAGAACAATATTTACCACCCAAAATCCTATTTTACAGCTCTACGCATAATGCAAATTCTCCCAAATAACAAAAAAAAAAAAAAAAAAAAAAAAAGAAAAAAATGAGTTATCAAACGTCACTATTCAGTCAAAAGTAAGCCATTGTTCTAAAAATTTAAAATTAATGTGGTTAATCTACCTATGAATAAATCAATAAATTAATTAACGTCTTTAAATAATGTGTGATTAACAGTCTGTTTGCAATCAAAAATTGTTCTCTACCTACATACTATTTTACAGCCCCCCATATAGAGCAGTTTCCTTACAGTACCAAATCAGACAAACAAACAAATAAATATTCAAACATGTAAGCAAACTTGAGTTTTAGTAGTATATAGATAGATAGATATACAATATTCTTCTTGGTCACTGCAAAATATCTGTATGCTATAGCCAATTTCAACCAAAATTCTATACTTTTTTGAACTACTTTGTTTTTCATTTTCTAACACATTATTCCTTATTAATTTCATGCCTTTTTTTCAACACTCTACCGGCAGCTGGTTTTTTATATTATGATTTTTTTATGAATGTGTGTGTCTTGATTTGTAAACATATCTGCTCATAGTTTACCGAATCTACTGATTCACTTAAACTTGTCATCTCCTTACCTAAAGTGCTGAGTTAGGTTGACTACGCTGTAGAACCATTTATTTAATATTCACAGTAAAAATCTATCTATAAAGCATTGTATTCATTTCCATCCCATCTATTATTGATAGCCAGCTTTCCGAACTGTAAAATAACACATAATTTACACCAGAACTGAGAATTCTCAAATTTGATTTTTAATTTTTGATTTTTAACAGAGCTGCAAATATTTTAAATGTTGTATACACTGTAATTTCTTCTGTAATTTTGCTTGAAGTTTACTTCAGAGACGATCTTAATTGCAGTGTTGGAAGAGATTCACTCCTACACAATTATTTATTACGTGTCCACTTATTCGCCGATGACTCCAATTTCAGCCTGTTTATCTTTTTGTGTTAGTTATTATCGCCTTTATCCAACTAAGAACAAACTATCAAGGTAGCAGGTGTTTATTTTTGGAGTTGTCTGACCTAAATGAGTAGCATTCCCCTATAGAGGAGCCTATACTGCCCGGGGTTCAAACTCAATACTTCTTGGTCCAACAACCATGATCTTTATCAAGATCAGATGACTCTTTTCGCTTATCTTTATGAATGATGCTACATTTCTTATTTTAAAAAGGAGTTTCTATCATGTCAATTTTTCTGTGGAAACCCATGGCGTAACAAAATTTTCTAAAAGCATCTTTCAAAGTACACCATTTATTATTTTCTTTTCTGGTGTAAAAGTATGTTGTTTATTACGAACATTAATTCATGAGAACAGACACTTAAAGTATTTTTCCCCCAATCCAACAATGGCAACTATTCTAGCTGTTAAATGTATCTTTAATTTTTAAAACTAAAATTTCTTGTTTAGGTTTTTGTAAATTCAGAACCGTATAACAGCTTTTCATGTAAAACACTCGCAGCTAGATAAGGTAGACTAGTACTGGGACAAATAATATTTTTAATGTGTATTTACGGATTTCAGTTTCTTATTGGTTTAAATTAAACTTTGATTTTAAAATTACAAGAAGTTTTTAGGTTTTTAATTTTTCGCTAGGCTGTGTGTGTGTGTGGTAACGTTTGTAAAATATAATACTTAGATCCCGCATGTCCACATATGTTTAATTTAGATGCTAGGCAATTTTAGCGTTAAAATTATTGTAAAGTTATGCCTCTCAATGATATTTTACTTGATGCATTGGTTGTGCAATAATCATTGGAAAAACCAGCTAACGGATGATTGAACTCATCAAATGCAACTTGATATATCAATTTACGTAAATGTGCTAGCTATTTTCGGCTATTTTATCCAGGGATTACTTCATACAAGCAATGTTTGTATATAGAGTATACACAACAACGGCCGATAGTGTAGTTAGAAACATGTTTATAAACAAAATCATGAACTAAATAGGTGCTATAAATGTGTTATTTACAAAGCTTTAAACATTATTATTAATTTTGCTTGAAGTCTGCTTCAAAGACTGTCCTTATTAACTATAGTTCCTCCCAAAAATTTAAGCCACCCCACATTCCCGCAAATTTCACGGTGATAGGTTGAATGATGTAGTAATGTATAACAGACTCAAACATGTTTTTCACATGTACAACTGTGTGTGTCCAACTCAAGTTTCAGATAACCTTCCGATTTAGGGAACATCCACAAATGACGTCAAGTTTTGTTTATTGATTTACAAAAGACAGACCAGACCCTCACCACCACCCACCCCTTCTCCTAAATGATTCATTTATTAATAACAATTGACAATAAATAATGTTTAAATAATTCATTTACTAATGAATAACCTTTTTCCGCAGCTAATTTTTTAGGGGGTTCGAACTCAATACTTCTTGGTCCAACAACCATGATCTTTATCAAGATCAGATGACTCTTTTCGCTTATTTTTATGAATGATGCTACATTTCTTATTTCAAAAAGGAGTTTCTATCATGTCAATTTTTCTGTGGAAAACCATGGCGTAACAAATTTTCCTAAAAGCATCTTTTAAAGTACACCATTTATTACTTTCTTTTCTGGTGTAAAAGTATGTTGTTTATTACGAAAATGAATTCATGAAAACAGACACTTAAAGTTTATTTTCCCCCAATCCAACAGTGGCAACTATTCTAGCAGTTAAATGTATCTTTTATTTGTAATACTAAAATTTCTTGTTTAGGTTTTTGTAAATGCAAAATCTTATAACAGCTTTTCATGTAAAACACTCGCAGCTAGATAAGGTAGACTTGTACAAGGACAAACAATATTTTTAAAACTGCATTAATTGATTTCAATTTCTTATTACTTTAAATTAAACTTTGGTTTTAAAATTACAAGAAGTTTTTTAAGTTTACAATTTATCGCTAGGCTGTGTGTGTGTGTGGTAACGTTTGTAAAATATAATACTTAGATCCCGCATGTCCACATATGTTTAATTTAGATGTTCGGTAATTTTAACCTAAAAATTATTGTAAAGTTATATGCCACAATGATATTTTACTCGAAATATTGATTGTGCAATATTAATAGGAAAAATCCAGCTTGTAAGAACGTGTTGTGGGCATATAGTATAGAAAGTAAGACTTAATAATATTTTTTACATTTAATATAATTTATACCCTTAATCTTGAAAAGGAACACGAATAAAAGATAAAGATAACATGATTATAGCGATTTCCTTTTAAAATGTCGAGTACAGAATAATAATCAAGAAAAACACTGACAAATATTTTTTTAAAAAGAGCGATTTGATAAACAATACAGCGTACCATCAGGCCCTAATGCTCTTCCAGAGAAACACAACCAAATCCATTCTCACCAATAGACTAGATCAATGAATCCTCTTTGGTTCAGAGTTTTTCTTGTGTTTGAAATAAAGTATTCTGAAGAGACTGTTTCTGCTGGATAAAACATGTGATGTAGCCCCTGTCCCCGACCAAAGGCTTTAGCACCCGAGAATAAAACACCTCCGTGACAAGAAAACTTACACATATGAACCCGCATTTAACAAGATTATGAACTGTATTTAAGTTAAGCTCAATGTTCGCAAGATTTACGTTTGGTAATTTAAAATAAATTATTTAGATTGAAAAAAAAAAACAAGATATACATTGCTTTTAGTATACATGCAAAGTAGTAGTGCCTATTAATTATGTAATTCGATGCGTTTTTACATTTAAGTAAAAATAGTTATGTTTAAACTAACACATTTTAGGTATTATATTTTAATACTATGAGTCCTAATTTCAAAATTGCTTAATATTTAGGCATATTTGTTGGTATCGACATTTTTCATAATGTATTATACTATTATTTGTTTTAATTAACGTAAACAATGTTTGTTCACAACTATTAAACCAGTTCAATAGCTGTAAATAGTAAATTGTGATAGAGTTGGCTACAATACGAATACACTAACATTACACCAGAATTTTTATCCAAAGCCGATATTAGGCACCCACATTATGTGGTCTTGACAGCAAAGACCAAAGAGACAGTTCAAGAGACATGGGTCAAATGAATTAAAGTACCATAAAAGAAAGTTTGTGATAATATTAAAAAAACATTAAAACAATAAAAACACTAAAATGAAACACAGTCAGGGTATTTAATTGTATTTTATCATCATTTTTCAGAAGCAGCATATATTTTATAAATAATGTTTAAGCCGTTTATTATGAAATATGACTTTACAAACGTAAATCCCTTGTAAACTTTAGAGTTTAGTTTAATTATCAAACCTGTGTGGTCTCACTAAAGAAAATATAAAATATACATTCAGATTAGTATGCTTAGATCTATGTTATGGTTGGTATTAAGATAAGAGGTATGCATATAAGTACTTGCAATGTTGGCTATTTAATTTTTTTATATTGCAGAATGAAAATAAATTTTATAATTTAGTTTTTCATAATCTTCAATGTAGGTTAGGACAATTATTGAAACAAAATATATTTTATAATGATGTTTATTAGAATATAAGTTGCCAATGATCTATAACATGTACCCCAAGTAGCTTAAAAGTTTAAGTAACCAGACTCACTTATTTCACAGGTATGACAGATATGGTTACTGGTTACACAGCTGAGCATATAAAACACTCTTGTGTTTTTCCCATGCTATACTGGCAAAGACCCGAGCACCATTCTCGCCACAGTCAGATTGTATAGCCTCCTTTACACACAGCCTTGCTTCTGTAGGGCCTTGGCTTTTTACAAAAAGATTTTGTTTTATATAGTGATTTATGGTTTCAACTAAACCTTACTCAATAAAAAAAAGACGCCAAATTTAAGTACTGTTTACACGAGAGACAGTCGGTGATTTTTGTAAATACATCGGTATAAATTAATAATGTATCGAATCTTTATTTTATTCGCATAAACCAGTTGTTTAATTTATAGCTAGATCGCTGTTTTTCAATAATACTCACATTTACATGCAAACTTTAATCCTGGCAAATATACTATAAAAATATAGTTAAATGTTTTTTTATATATGTAAGATTACTGACGTTACAAAGTAGACTTGTATATTTAGGATATCGCATTAATATGTTTTTTTTAATTAAATACGAAACATTTCAAAACGGAAAAGTAATAAAGTGTATATTACTTTTTTAACGCATTAATAGAGTTTTCATTAATTCAAAAAATTAAAATTAAATATTTGCAAAGCTGATTTTTTTAACATAGCGAGGCAGACGAGATTTTAATTTTTTGTTACTGTAATAATTAAGGTTTAAGATGTGGATAATATTTATTTAACGGAAATCTTCCCCCTTATTACACATAAATAAATTCACTTTTAGTACCCTTTTTTGTGTTTTTTCAGATACATACTTATAACGATATATTGTTGGATTTTGTACGATCTTTGTGTTTTGTTCTAGAATGAATAGAAATGAAAAATTACCTGCACATATTGTTTTCACCATAAAAACCTGTGTCTACAAAACATTATTAAATTTTCATTCATGGTTTTTGTTCATAAGAATGAAAACTGACCACTTCGCTGGGATAGCTCTAAGCAGAACGCCTGAAGGAAAATGAAAGCAAGAAAGGCCAAGGGAGACTTGGAATAGCTTAGACGGAAGCAGCTAACAGAGGTAGTACTGTCATAGGGGGACTGTAAAGAAAATTGCCGGTGACTGACAAAAGTGGAGGGGGCTTTCCATGGCGGCCCCGTGTGTCTTTGGCACGCGAATAAAAAGATAATGATGATGTTTATGATTTTTTTGTTATTTAATATTAGTACACATTTTAAGTATACATTATTGTTTATATCAAATTAAATTATTGCTAATTGATTTTGTTTTTAATATAGATAGATCAGTTTTTGTATTATAATATTTAAATTTTAAAGTTAGAACTTCATATTTAACTGTAATCTCCGTCATAAATTAACAATAATACAATTCTTATTTTGAGAGGAAAACTCCTAACAATATACTGTCTGATTATGTAAGTATCTATGTATTTTGAATCGATAGCAATGGTATACAACCTGCAAATGATGCTGTTAGTGTAAAAACACATGTCTAAAGCATCCTGTAACCTCTCTTTCTTCTCCTCATCAATCGTACACTGCAAAGTTTCGAACTCTTCAACAGCTGGTGAAAGCAACAGATACAGTTTGAATAATATAGTTGCTCTTATTTTAAGAGGTACTTACTTCCATAAAATCATGGGAATACCATCTAGGCCGTTCACTAGTTAGGATATAATTTTAAAATGAACACATCGAAAACGTAATTACCAGACCTCCCTGCCGCGTTACAAACTATGTTGCCCATAGCTTTTACTTTATCAGCTCTTAGGTGATGCTCACTGTCACTGTCACTGTCACTGCAATTTGCCTGGTGTATGTCCACACACAATTTGAACTCGTCCAAGATTCTAAAATAAGTTCATACACTAGATTAAAGCTAAGTTGTAAAAGCATTTGGGCTTACGATATTTTGTGGAGACGGTGCTCTAAAATTATGTATCTATTTTACAAAATAACATCGAGTTAAGTGAGGTGCAAATGCGTATTCAAGCAGCACATTCTTCATGAAAATAAAATCCGTCAAATTAGGCAAAACAATACAATGTTTTAAAGAATGAATTTGTTTCAAGTCAATTTTTAAAATATGTTTTGGTAGTAAATAATTTGGTAAATATTTTGTAAATAAAGTTTAATTTAACTTTTGGCAGAAAGCTTTAGTGGTAGAGAGTTCAGGTTGAAACCTGAAAATGTCATGATCATTATAAACGATTGTAAGTTCAATCCAAAGTATGAAAACGGTTATAATCGATGGTTCCCTAACACATTTAATTTTTACAAAAGTAACTATAATTTTATTGCTTAGATAACTTTTTAAAAGATTTTTAAAAAGTTGGATGATTATTAGACTGTTTTAGCCTTTTTCTATGTGATTTAAAAACAACAATTATCAACAGTTCTGTAAGTAATTTATCTTGATATCTGCATTCTGTTAATTTTTGTAGAGTATACTTATAAACACACTAGCGAGTTCGTAGTCATGCAAAAACATTATAATCCTAATCCTAATCCTAAGTATCAGCCTCAGCCTCAGCCTCAGTCTCAACCTCTTTCTAATCATTATCCTCATTAACCTCAAACAACCTAAATCTCAACTTTAATCTTAGCTTCGACCTCGACATTCAGCATTAGCCTCATCCTCAAAAACAATCCACATCCTAGTCATTTAATCCTCATCTTGCTCATCATATCCACATCCTTAACTTCAGCTTAAACTTAAACTTTAAACTAAAACTAATCTACAACCTTAACCGTGACAGCAAACTACCCCAGCCCTTGTAATAGCCTTGTCTTTAGAGAGACGCACTGCTCTTATTCCAGCTCTTGCAATCAAAGTAGAAATAAAAATGGTTTGAAACAAATCACTTGTTACTCACTCGCAGAAATGAAAAACCGTTGTGTTCCTAAGATAATATCGGTCGCCAACAAAATTATCAACCTGGTCGTTCCAGCACCGCAAAAGTAATCGACATTCGTCAGTTTCATAGTAGTAGGCGTCGTAGTCTTCGTCACTTTGAGCATCTTTGACATGCATGGAAATGTTTTTATATATTTCAAAAATATCATTTTAAAAAGCGAAGTACAATGTTAATTAGTTCGTATATAAGCCGAAGGAGTAGACGTTGCCGAGCGTTAGATCTAACCCGAAATTATCGAGTTCTAATCCATGTTTCTGTGTCCACCTATCTCTAATGTTAGTACCTGAATAACGCTAGGGAAAGCAAAGGCGGCTGGGCATAGTACTTATCATCTAAAACATGTGTCTTCGACACGAACTGGAAAATATGATGAAATGAACCTAACCCCATTGCACATTCTATCTAGATGAAGTTAAATAAAAATGTCTATGTTGGACAAATCTCCGAAATTCACACTGCCGTCATGGAGAAAAATGTTTTAAGAATTAAACTAAAGACAACAGGAAACGCTAAGTACTACATGATTTAAAATGAATTAAACTCACCAGCTACAGATACAACTGTGTTGATTATCAGCAAGACATTCATCACGCTCCATAGAATGAAAGAATTCATCTTGGACATTTTCTGAGCTTGGAATTGAAAAAGACTCATTCGTAGTGCGATTTATACAGACAGACACAGAGTAACACCTGCTAAATTATCAAGAAATTACCCACTTAAAATATGTTGTGTCTGAACGTGATTATCGCCATTCAGATATCGTTCACATGATTACGACATTAAAGATTAGACAATTATAGAATCAGCACGTGCGTTTGTTGGAAATGATACGTGAAACCAATAGGCTTGCCTACCCAGACCTATGTTATGGTGTAGCAAGTCTAAGTTTGTGGAATTAACAAATCTATGTTTATTACGATTGTCGTTGGTAAATGGTCAAAGAACCTACCATGTAATAAGGTAGAAATGATAACTGTACCATTATACTGAAAATAATCAGTAAAATATATAAATCAACCGGTAGAAAGGTCTGAGCCACTTTTCTTCTCTGAATATGTAAATATATAGTAGGACGTATTTACAATGTTGGTATCTAATGCTTAGTGGCTGATACACGGGCAGGATAAATGTTTATAGTGCAATAGGTAAAGTCTACCGCCACGTGAGGTGAGTCACAACAGGACAAAGGATAACAATATTACAGTAGCTAGTAACAGCAGGCAGTAACAATGCTGATAGCCAAGCCTAATGACCGCTTGTCTTTGCAAAGGTTTACAGCGGGCAACTAAACTTAATAATACGGTCAGGTGACTACGTGTCAACGCAATGCAGCGTACTGCCTGTGTAATAAAATCATAATATACTCAAAACACGAAGTATAGAGTATGCTATATGAGAATGTATTAGAGTTAAGAATCAATTGGTTTACTTGGTAAGCATTGATAGAAAAATATTAGTTACAATAAACGAAACAGTAAAAGAATGATAAACTAAGTAAATGATACAAAAGCAAGCTCATGGAAGTAGGGATGAGGGCTCTCAACTCAGCCTGCGAAATCCAATAAGTAAAGTAAGAGAGCTAATCAGGTTCTCCTCCCCCTTCGTATCACGTGACTAGTCCCTCTATTCAGACTGGACAGTGCATTAGGTGTACACGTGTTGGTCAAGACAGTGACATGATTTGCCGATGACCAGCGATCTGTTCGCGGGGGATGGTATGCATGCGAGTATCTGGTGGGGGTCTTAGACTATCAACTGTAATTCCCAGGTGTAGACTTTTTTTCTTCCAGCATTTTATCAAGACGGTCCATGCGGCCAGTTATGTAGAGGTCACCTGTTTCTTTGACCTCGATGTATGATAGCAAATGGTCAGTATACGCCCAGAAAGTATTTATTGAATCCAATCTTTGCAATCTTCTGTGGTTTTCATTATGATCCACCCAGCTGGGATGGGTACCTTACACACTATCCTTATCATATGCCGAGGTCCCTGAAACACATAAACTCTAGTCAAGTGTCCTATGTTCTTGGGCACTCAAGGGAAAAGAGAAAGATGAAGAAACTACTTATATGTTGTTATGTTATTATTTATTATCGCTTTAAATGTAAGTTTGAGTTGAAATGGACAGAAAAAAAATTAAGTTTTGAAAGTATTGAATGGCTGTTTGTGTTTATGTTTATGTGTGTGTTTATATATATATATGTGTGTGTGTGTGTGTGTGTGTGCATGTGCGTGCACGTGTAAACAAATCTAGAAACATACAGCATGCACTAACAGCATGCACGAGTCAGCGCTAAACGCATCGTAATTTGACTCGCCTCAACACTTGTAGCCTTGTAGAGCTTGCGAACCAACCGATCAATGAACACCACAAAATATAACTCGAAATATAATATGTCGTAAATTTGTAGCAATTTTCAGCCAATTGCTTCTTGGATTACTTTAAACTAGCATTGGTAAATGGAGTCTTTACAACATACACCCATAGTTTAACTAGCTTTGTATTGCTGAACAAATATACAAATGAGGACAGCTGTTGTATTATTCTAAATTCACTGAACTTCATTTTTAAAACTAGTATTCATCAAGATGAAAAGATTGCCATTTTCAATTGAAATATCTTTTAATATTAACACGAGAATTAATCTTCTCGAGAATCTTAAAATGCCTGTCTTAATTGACCGCAGGTTATTAAATCATTCTATAATGCAAACTATACTTTAATTATAAACAAGTTAATAAAAAAGTCTAGTGACAATTTAAGCTCAATTTCCTTATGTACGCGTCATCACGTTCAAAAGATGCGTCATCACGTTCCATGACTGCGCCATCACGTTCAGTAGGCGCGCAATGGTTTTTAGTCATATAACTCAATTGTTTTTAAAAAATGTGAAAAAATGATAGGCCTAGCGAAACAAAACCTTGTAATTGTAACTCCCTATCACTCTCATATAAATTATAAATAAATTAATAGGGTACAAAAATAACGTTTGCATTAATAAGTAAATATGTAATAAAAAAATTAACTTATAGCAAGATCTAAAAGATAGCGAAAAATAGATATCTATATATTGCTATATAGTACTGTAGTGTATTATGTATAATGTAAGTTTAAAATTTTTTTTGTGACCGAACGAAAGTTTATTTTTGAAAATTTTCTTCGGCAATATTGTTCTAAATTATGGTAGGAATCGATTGGTAAATGTTTCAAGTCGCTAAGTGGTCTGGTTGCCGAGATATGGGCCAAAACTGCATTTGTTCGAGGTTTTTTGGCTTTTCCGGAAAATCCAGGAAGGAATTTCGGGAATTTTTTTTACCCACTATCATCGTCGGAACTTCGTTAACATATTTGCTTTTGGAACTAGTCCTCTATATTGCTTCGTTGAGGAGGAGATACGACTTAAAACTGCGAACACACATCCATCCATCCATTCCCAGAAAAGACGAGTTAATAAACGCAATTCTCCAGAATGGAAATTGCCCAAAAAATGACGGTATCATTGTTTGGAGATCTGAACTATTTGTAAAGTATGTAAAGATAAATAATAATAAATATGTATTGAACAATACAAAACTGAAATTTTTATTGAAAAATACCACGGGTATATTTATTAGTTTTTATTTAACTTCCTGTCTATGTCTGTCTTTTATCAATGTGTCGTCAGTCTGTCTGTCTTAATCCTACATCAAGACGGGAGAGCAAACTTTCTGGCATTTATAACCAATCAATTCCTTTAAAATTCGGCACGTGAGTCAAGAACAAATGACACTGCAATATAATATTAAATTTGAATTTATTGAATGATTATTCTTTTTAAAGAAGTAATTATTATTTCTGAAATTAGTATGCTGTCTATCCTACTATTACGCACTATTATACGCGCTTTATCATGTTCATTTGTTATGTAGTTGTTTTTACAAGTGAAATTCTATTGTATCAAAAATATTTAGTCTGGCAAAATATTTTAATATGTTTATTATTTAAGTCTTTGTTATTAATGTGTAAGTGTTGTAATTTATTCGATAGTACTTGTAGTGATGTCATTAACATGTGCATATTAAAGCACACGAGCCAAGTTAAAAGTTGACAAAATTGTCACTTAAAATACGATAGACTATAATACAATTCGACCACACCTTACATACATTCAGATCACAAACTAGTATTATAATCCATTGACTGTACTAAGCGTTAGAACTTAAAAAAATACTCGTTGGGTCTTAAGTATGTCAGGCTACAAAAACAACATACGGATATAAGCAAGACATTCAACAACTGCCCAGAATAACATAAATCATCTTGGATATTTCTTGGCTTTGAGTTTAAAAAGACTCTTAAAAAGACTCGAACATAGTGTGATTTACGCCGACAAACACAGAGTAACATGTGCTAAATTATCAACCAATTACCCACATAAAAACTTTTTTTTTCAGAACGTGATCAATGTATGCAGATGTTATACCGAGTAATAACGGCAGTAAAGAGTTGACAATTTTAGGGAAAGCTCTGGCATATGCTGGTAATAAAACTTAAGATACACATACGCTGAATTCGGATATAAAGTAGCAATTCTTAATCAGGAAAATTGGCAAGTTTGTGACAAAACCTCAAATTACATTAAAGCAAGTAGGCCTAAACATATGCACACACATTCACATATAAGCCTATTTATAGTCTTGTTTGTTGATTTGAACAACCTTTGAATGTTAATTTAATTGGTAAATGTAAAGTATTTCTCCATAAAAAGCATAGAAAATTTTAAAAAAATAATAAACTAGATTGCTTTCTGTTAAAAAAAAACTAGCCGACTCCATGTAAAAAAGGTCATTTATTAGTTGGTCTTTCTTCTTTTCTTCTTCGTTCTGAATGTTAGTGAAGGAAAGGATTCCCTCCAACACAATTAACTATCACGTGTCAACTTGTTATGCGCCATATCTGCCGTTGACTTTAGTTACAGCCTGCTTTTCTTTTAGGATTTGCTACCATAGTCTTTGTCCAACCAAGATCAAACACGTTGTTTGATTTTGGAGTTGTCTCTCCAAAAAGAGTTGCTGTCCCCAACTATCGAGCCTCATCTGCCCGCGGGTTCGAACTCGAGACTTTTTCAATTGGTAAACATGAGCTTTACCGACTCGACCACGCCGAATATAAACGTTCTTTACTTATGCATTTACTGCTAGACTCTGTGAGCACGCGTATGTTCGTATGCATGTTTATGTGTGTGTATGTATGTATGTGTCTGCATGTGCACGTGTGAGCAATCTAGAACCAGTTCCGGCTGAATCGGTTGTAATAGTGTACGCTATAAAACCATGTATCGCAATTAGGAACAGCCAATAGAGCTTGGAGATGATAAAAACATACGGCAACGGAAAGTTATACTCCAAAATAATAATAATAATAAAATACTAAAGTTAACGTTAGGTAAATTATAGGCAATTGTCGTGAAGTACGCTCGATTTTAACGCTACTCTGATTACTTCAGACCAGTAATCGTAGATGAGTCTGCATAATTAAGGACAAATTTGTAACGAGATATGTCTTCCCCAGAACAGCTGCCAAAATCAAAACGTTGATAGTTGTAGGTTTGTGTGAGTTTTGTGTTAGGTTAGTTTAAGTTAGTATGTCGCCCTT